GCATTCCAGGACCTATTGGGATGACTGAAAGCCAATTCTAGGTCAAAAAAAGTTTCTTAAAATTCAAACCCTGGGAAGGTTGTCAAACTTATTTGACCAAAAATCATATGTCATTATCATTATAAAACAGCATTAGACTATTTATTCATTCAAAGTGACAACAAAAGATGTTAAACACAAACATAGGCTAGCAAAACTTAAGTTCCCATGATTAAGAAGATGGCTTTTTTTAGAGTAATCAAGTACCTGATTAATATAACAATATATAACCACTTCAGTAATGTATAAAACTTGTGCTTTGTAGGCAAATACAGGAAAATCTTTTTCCGTTTTAACATACTAGAAGACCAAATCAGTTATGTGTTAGTTTATTTTAGATTCATTTATCCAATAAATTTATTATTCAGATTACCTATAATTTCCTTTTAAGATTTCACTTCATATATATTTTTTTCAACTTGCACACACCCTCTGCAATTTTCCTAATCCCTTTCAGTTTTCTTTTTTAATTTAACTCCTTTAGAAATAACCAACTTTAGAACCACCTGTTTTCAATTTTACATTACCAAAACAATATAATTTCTTTCCAATTTTATTAGAATTCTTAATTCTTAGAAACGACCTTTTTGATGACAAGTAATTCCTCAGATTAGCGATATGTGTTCACATTTTTAAGGTATATTTCAAATAAAATACAATACATATTTATTAACAGATTCACATCCATCCTCTAGATTTTCTGTAATAAGAAGCCAAAAGTAGGCAAACTCTGATTAATGGTTCAGTATTTTGTTATTTCATAATACCTAAATATTCAATAATTTATACTATTTAACCCAGCAAAATTCCAAAGTCTTAAGTTATACATACAATTATTACTGAAAAGCCTTATCCAAAACCCTTCATTTTAGTTATGTCTGTTTATTATGTCTTAACAACTTGATGAGATTTTAAAGCCAATTACTATTTCTCAAGGCATTTTCTTAGCAAATCTTGTAAGTCCTGGGCCTCAGGCAGCCTTACTGTGAAAGTTCCTTTTTTTTTCTTTACAGAGTGGGCATGCTGCCCGAGGGCATTTCTGCAGCTCCGGCCCTTCTGGGAGAAAAACTTGGGGGGTTTTAAAAGATTTATTTCCCATATTTTTATTTCTGAGTAGAATGTAACAGCATGAAATATTGCATGTGAGAAGAGAGCTTATCCTATTTCAAAACAGAAACAAAACAATCCCTAAAGTAAATAAATGAGTACTCCCTAAGGGGGGAGTGGGACATTAGCCTTATAACCTTTTCTCACACCCAGCACAGCAAATGACCTTTGGTCTGAGCGGCTCAAAGCCCAAACAGCAGACAGGATTCTCTGTTCATAAAAAGACAAGACAGCAGCATAGAACTTCTGTAACCAAAGTCATGTTGCGGACAGACAGAACTCGCACTAGTTAAGCATTTCAGGCTGCTGATGCCTTGAGAGGGAGAGCCTGCCACAAGCAGTTGGGGGCCTCCAGCAAAGTGGGATATGCTCCCATTTTAAACAAATTAAACCAAACAACAAAGAGACACAAAACAACAGTCAACAGAGACACTCTTATGTATAATATTTACAGGTGCACCCAACCCACAGACAAGAACGTCACATCATGCTTATCTATTCAGGCAGAGTAGAATGCTCTGCGTTAAAACACACACACCGAAGCAGCACTGTCTGTCGTCCCAGAGCGGATCAGACTAAGGGCTCGGAGACCAGACAAGGACCGCTGGAGGTTTCTTGCCACCTGATCAGGTGTACCAGGCGCATGCCAGACGAGGCAGTAAATGCCCCTCATGTCCTACAAAAAAACTGCTCGATTCAATTTAAGTCTTAGGTGAGACGATGGGGATTGTTGAGGCTGTGGCTGGGACTCAAAACAGGAAAGTTCCTGGCAGCACTGTGAATAAAAGTCAAGGCCTCAGCCCCAGGAACCCCCAGTCCAGGCAGCAAGCAGGATACCCGGTTCTTACCCCAGTGGGTCCAGGCCGCCTGTCACCACTTCACTCAATTAAGCAGAGACAAGGTTGAATCATATATGACTGTTTCTTCCAATAATGCTGTCAGTATGGGAGAGCAGTAAGGTCATCCTGAAAAATCTTCCCTCCCCTTACTACCTGGCTGATTATATAGGGATAAGGAAGGAAGGTTGCATGCAAAGGGGAAGGGGGAAGGGTGGCTGCAGGGTCTGTGGTCCATGTGTCTCCTTCCAGGATCTTGAAGTCCCATAACAAGGTAGCTAATTTTCAATGGTGTTAAAACCCAGCTCCTCCAGTTCCTGGGACTGGAGAATGGTCAGCATTCCTGAGGTAACCTCCTGGAGGGGGGTCAGGCCCCAGGCATAGCAACCAAATCAAAGCACATCCTTTGTCCTCACAATGCATTAAAAAACACACACAAAAAACTTCATTGATTTCAGAGAGAGAGGAAGGGAGAGGGAGAGAGAGATAGAAACACCAATGATGAGAGAATCACTGATAGGGGGCCTCCTGCATGTTCCCCACTGGGGATCGAGTCCACAACCTGGGCATGTGGCCTGACCGGGAATCAAACCATGATCTCCTGGATCCTAGGTGGATGCTCAACCGCTGAGCCATGCCTGGCCCGGCACAATGCATTTTCTTTTCTGAGCAATGGACCCACCCTGGCCCTGGGGTGTCTCTTACCTTTTTACAGCTCTGTTCTTCTTGTAACACAGCCTCCAGTTTCCCAGGGTCTGTAAGAAAACCCCTTATCTGTAGTTAGTAAGGTGAATAATTATTAAACAGCTGTGGTCCTGTTCCTATTAGGTGCCTGTCCCCCTTTCACAGTCACGGTCAACAGAGCATGATCAACACCTCTGCCCCCAACACTCCCAGGGCAGTTGCACTCTCCAAGCTCAGGATTACTCCTCCCAAATGATGTATCTCAGCATTCTGAGTTCACGAAGCCACTTCTGTAGAGGCTTTATCTCGCCTCACCAAATTGATTAGTATTTCCCTGGAATGAGTGGAAAGGCTAGCCCCACCCTTGAGAGATGTCCTGGACACCTAAGTGGGCTTGCATTTCAAGTGAAATGTTCCAAGTGAGCCATTACTTTAGTTTGCTTTGTGGGTCACCTGGGGCAGACCTGTGGTCAGAGCCATGCCCCTGTACTCTGCTTTATTGCAGTCACATAAACAGACTTCTGTTGGCCTCAGCTCAGCTTTTGGAGCCAGAATCTCAGGAAAAGTGTGAGTAGTAAGTTGGCCAAAAGGGCTGAGTGCCACTATAGCTGGGGTTTGGCAGCTAAGAGATCTTATCCTTGGAGAAGCTGCTGAATCAGGAGACCTGTGGATGGTTATTGTATTTGGGTTGAAGTGTTCTGAGTCCTACCACATCAGACATGAAAGTGCTGTCCAGGTCCCAAAGGGAATGGTTGCTAGTCTTTTATCCTGGCATCAGCTATAACAGTGCTTATCTCGTGGTCCCTGAGAATCCTGAAGTGTAATGTGGGCAACTAAATAGTTCCTGCCACAGGGAAGGTGGGAGGAAGTCACCTTGGAGGGTTGGTTTCTGAACCAGAACACTGACAGGCTTCTGCTCCTACTTTACTCTCATAATTCCCCTGCCATGTGTCTGGTGTCACTGCTGATTTGTCTTCAGATTTATGTGTGTGACGCCCCAACCTCCCTTCTCCCAAAGTCCGTCCTTTCTAGGCTGGTATTTAAGGCCTCAGCCTGCTTCTCCATGGCATCTTCTGGGTCTATAGCTCTCAGGGTTTCCCTTCCCTGGTCTCATGGGGATTCTTCTTTTAAGCTCAGCTAGGTCCTGCCTTCCTTAGTCATTCCCCCTGGACCCTCCCTCTGTCCCCCTCTTGGTGCCACTGTTGGTTCCAGGTTGTTGTTTTCCATATACCTGTCTTCCTGACCAACTCACATCCCACTAAATGTGGAAATCCCACCTCAGTTCTTTCTGTAGATCTCCTTCAGTGTTCTTACCTTTTTTTATGCCATAGACCCCTTCTCAGAATGTTTTTGAATTTATAACATAAAATACATAGAATTTTAAGAGAAACCGTTTCTGTTGAAATATATGTTTTATGTATTTATTTTTTCTTTTTAAAAATTATCTTAATTGTTGAAATGAAATACATATTTTAAAATATTGTGATAGAACAGTATGTGCTTTTTCATTAATGTGTCAAAGAGCAAGATCTAGCAGCAGGTCTGATACCTACTGAATTTCAAATTAGTGATACATGTGCATGGTGTTCCAAGGTACCTGTTACAATTATAATGTGAAATGAAAATGAGTGATTTTTATTGGTGACAGCTAATAGAGATACCGCTGATATACTGTGGCTTTTTGTTTACATTTAAGATGGAGATAAACACTACCTTTTACTTATAGGTTAGCGAAAATGATGTAATTCCCCTCCCATCCATTTCACTGACCCCTTTGATTTACCCCCAAATAAATTGTGGCCCAGGTTGAACACTTCTCTGCCAGCACTTCACGTAGCGGGCAGAGGAAATGTTTGCTAACTGACAGGTCACTGCTCCGAGATGTGCTGCCTCAGTTTTCCAAAGGCCTTCCCTCTCTCTTGGCCTTGACCTGTCCTCACACCTCTGGTTAGTGCCTCACCTCCCAGCTTGGAGCCTCACTTCTTGTCTAAGCTGGTAGGGAGTTGAGTGTGGGAGTTGCTGCTTTTCAGTACTCTGTGTCCTTTTGGCTTGAGGGAAAATTGACAGCAGGGAGCACATGTCTGCGGGGCACAGGCCAGACCCTTTCCCCTCCAAACAGGGAGGCCAAGGAGGAGAGGTGACATTCAGGATGTCTTTCTACCACGAGAACATGTCTGCTCCCAGGCGTGATGCCTGGTAGGGTGCTTTGCTTCCTGTGTCTGCAGGAAAGAAAAAGGCGAGGGCTTAGATGTGCTGCTGGGAATGGACAGGGTGTATGCCCTTGGCCCTTGGAGCTGACTCACCAGCTTTTTCCTCTCTTTTTACACACCCCAGGGCAAGCTGGCCTCATTTTTCCTCTCTCGGGTGGATGCCTTGAGCCCTCAGCTGCAGCAGGTAAAGGAACAGGAGGCAGATCTTGTCTTATCTCTCATTCTTAGCATTTCTCTCTTGTTACTGTTTGGACCATGTTCCCATGTCCCTCCCTGTTAGTACACTCAGGAGACACAAGACATGAATTCTGCCTCCGTGTTTCCATCCGTGTCCTGCCCCATTGTCCCTTTTCTGTGTTCCCTAAGAGCTCTCCATGATCTCCATTTTTCTTGGCCTTGGTGGCACTGGGGGTTCTGGCTGGGCTGGATTCCCATCTGACCAGGTTGCTGACCTTCTTCTGCAGTTGGCGTGTGAGTGTTATTCCCGGCTGCCCTCGCTAGGGGCTGGCTTTTCCCAGGGCTTGAAGCACACCGAGAGCTGGGAGCAGGAGCTGCACAGCCTGCTGGCCTCATTGCACAGTCTGCTAGGAGTTCTCTACGAGGGAGCAGAACCGGGTAGGGACCACGGCTGGTAGTCAGTGGCAGAGTGGTTGGGGAACATGGCAGGAGGGAACCAGAAGGGCGGCCCAGAGAGGCGGGACAGTTGATTTCTAGGCAGAATGGTGGGTCATCTACCAGAAATGAAAAAGGAGGGGGTGGAAAAAGCCCTGGAGTGTGAAGGTGCTGTGTTTATGTCCAGCTCCTGTGCAGTATGAAGGCCCTGGAGTGGAGATGCTGTTTTCCCCCTCAGAAGATGGTGACGCCCATAACCTTTTCCGGCTTCGGCAAAAGTTTTCTGGGCTGGCCTGCTGCCTGGGGCTCATGCTCAGGTGTGTGAGTGAGTGCTGGACGGAGCCTGGAAGGAGAGGGGTTGATCTAGGGGTGTCTTCTGCATCGAGGGGAAGGAGATTGGGGTGGGTGTGAGTCATGCCAGGGAGCCTGTGCTGAGGGTCTCTCTGCTCTGATTCTCTTTAGCTCTGAGTTTGGAGCTCCTGTGTCCATTCCTGTGCAGGAAATCCTGGATGTCATCTGCAGGACCCTCAGCATCAGTGCCAAGAATATTGTAAGTGGTGTTTGTCCTCTGTTCACAGTCCTTCCTTAGGACCCAGGGCAACCAGGAAAGTAGTGTGAGATCTGTAGCTCCTCAACTGATGTCATCTCTGAGGTTGTCCTATACAGCTCCTTCTATCCAAATGCCATTATTCCTTGTGCTTCTCCCAACACACATGCATGTCAGAGTGGATTCTCTCACCCAGTGCGGGGACACCTGTGGCACATGCTTTGAGAGGGGGGCAACCTTGGGGGCTAGACAGGTCATTGCGGAGAGGTTCTGCCATCCCTCCCCTCATCCTCCTTCCAGGGTCTGTTTTATAGGATGGGGGTTTGATCTTGTTGGGAGAGCTGGGCTCTGGGTGGGTTCCTTAAATGTGTGTACACATTTAGTCACGTATATCTGCTCTGTCACCATTTCTCTCTCTGTGTCTCACTTCCCCCACTCCTTTTGCCAATTTTCTTCTGCAGAGCTTGCTTGGAGATGGTCCCCTGCGGTTGCTGCTGCTGCCCTCTGTCCACCTTGAAGCCTTGGACCTGCTCTCTGCGCTAATCCTTGCGTGAGTGGGAATAGGCAGAGTGATGAAGGGACTGGGACGTGCTGGGAATGGAGGTCACTGTTGTGTCTTCGCCCCCAGGTGTGGAGGTCGGCTCTTGCGCTTTGGAGCCCTGATCAGCCGCCTGCTTCCCCAGGTCCTCAATGCCTGGAGCATTGGTAGGGATACTCTCTCTCTAGGCCAGGAGAAGCCTTACAGGTGACCATCAGGGATGGGGATAAAGAGGAGAGGGTGGGTGACTGGCTGCACGTGGGCTGGGGGTCCCAGAGGCTGGGAGTCCTGAGGGAGGAGAGGCAGAATTTGCCATGTTGACTCCTCTTTCATAAGCTGCCCTGCTTGCCCCACAGCGCCATGCGGACCAAGGTGTACTCTGTACTAGAGCTGTGGGTGCAGGTGTGTGGTGCTTCGGCAGGAGTGCTTCAGGGAGGAGCCTCAGGAGAGGCCCTGCTCACCCACTTGCTCAGTGACATCTCCCCCCCAGCTGATGCCCTGAAGGTGAGTGAGGCCTCTGCTCACCCTCTCCCGTGCCAAGACTCATCCTGCACACCTGGTCCACAGGGACCTCCTTGTCCAACAGCTCTCCTCACTCTGACCTGCCTTCCTATGAATGTGATTTATGTTTCCCTCCACCACCAGCTGCGCAGTCCCCGGGGGAGCCCTGATGGTTTGCAGACGGGGAAGCCCAGTGCCCCCAAGAAGCTAAAGCTGGACATGGGGGAGGCCATGGCCCCTCCCAGCCACCGAAAAGGGGATAGCAATGCCAACAGCGATGTGTGTGCAGCTGCGCTGAGAGGTGGGTGAGGCCTGTGCCCTGTACCTTCAGAGTGCTGGGATGGCCTGGGGCTGTAGCCCAAAACCCGTTGTTGAAGTGGAGGGTGCAGATAAAATGCAGAACCAGCTAAAAACCTGCACGAGAGACCAGAAGCAGCCATGCAGCTCCCAGGGCTGTGGGGAAATCTTGGACCTGCTGTTAGATGGGGGTTGGGTCATTTATACTGCCCCCAGAGTCTGATTTGTCTTGTTGGCATATCCTCAGCACTGCCAGCGACAGTTGTAGCAAAGGGGAAATCCCTGCCCTGTGGAGTTTACATTCTTTTCAGGCGGGCTGCTTCCCACACAAGTGCTAATCTGGAAACAGAAGTATAGTCAGTCACTGTGCAGTTAATGGGTGACTTTCCTTTGGGTCCCCTATATTTCACTGCCCGCTACCCCACCCATGTGAAGAGGAGAGCCAGTGCTCCTCAAATATATAAATGCACACTTATAATGTACCTACATTATCATCAGCCCTATGTAGTGTGATCCCCATTTCATAGTGGAGAAAACAAACGTCAGGAAGTTAAGTGACTTGCCTGAGCTAGGGCAGCTGGGTGCTCACCTTGATCCGTGTGCTGTAGAAGCCCTTGCTCTCAGTCCTGTTAGTAACCTACCTCTTAAACACCGTTCTTCCCAGGCCTCAGCCGGACCATCCTCATGTGCGGGCCTCTCATCAAGGAGGAGACTCACAGGGTTAGTGGAGCCTGGTCCCCATGGAGATTGGGGCGGGGCTATGCCCGTCCATGTGGCGGGCTGTGCTCCAGAGGGTGTCCATTCCAACTTGGGAGGAGGCCCCGGAGAAGGATTGGGTAGTCTCTAGTTGTGCCCTGTGTCCTTTTCAGAGATTGCATGATCTGGTCCTACCTCTGGTCATGGGTGTCCAGCAGGGTGAGGTCCTAGGCAGCTCCCCATATACCAGCTCCCGCTGCCGCCGTGAACTCTACCGCCTGCTGCTGGCTCTGCTGCTGGCACCTTCTCCTCGCTGCCCACCTCCTCTCGCCTGTGCCCTGCAAGCCTTCTCCGTTGGCCAGAGGGAAGACAACCTTGAGGTAACTGCTGACTGGGGCCGAGTCCACCTCTTTGGATTCAGGGTTCTCTTATTTCTGATGCAGCAGGCTCTCTTCTCTGGCGCCGTGAAACCCTGTGTTTCTGATGCTCACACTAGCTGCTGCTTCCTTCCTCAGGTCTCTTCTTTCTGCTCAGAAGCTTTGGTGACCTGCGCTGCTTTGACCCACCCCCGGGTTCCTCCTCTGCAGTCCATGGGCCCCACCTGCCCCACACCTGCTCCAGTTCCTCCTCCTGAGGCCCCATCTCCATTCAGGGCTCCACCCTTTCACCCCCCGGGTCCCATGCCCTCAGCAGGCACCATGCCCTCAGCTAGCCCCGTGCCCTCGGTGGGACCCATGCCCTCAGCTGGCCCAATGCCCCCAGCACGCCCTGGACCTCCAGCCACAGCCAACCACTTAGGCCTCTCTGTCCCAGGCCTGGTGTCTGTACCCCCCCGGCTCCTTCCTGGTCCTGAGAACCACCGGGCAGGCTCAAATGAGGACCCCATCCTTGCCCCTAGTGGCACTCCTCCACCTGCTGTACCCCCAGATGAAACTTTTGGGGGGAGAGTGCCCAGGCCGGCCTTTGTCCATTATGATAAGGAGGAGGCGTCTGATGTAGAGATCTCCTTGGAAAGCGACTCTGATGACAGTGTGGTGATTGTGCCCGAGGGGCTGCC